AATACAGAATAGAAATACAGAATAAAATAGAAATACAGAATAGAATAGAAATACAGAATAGAATAGAATAGAAATATAGAATAGAATAGAAATACAGAATAAAATAGAAATACAGAATATAATATAATAGAGTAGAATAAGAAATAGAATAGAATTAGAATACAGAACAGAATAGAATAGAATGTAAAATATAGAATAGAATAGAATAGAATAGAATAGAATAGAAATTAGCTATGTACCTCATGCAGAGGAGTGATGGCAAACCAAGAGGAGCGATGGCAAACACACACACACACATACGGATACATCCAGCCTGGTGCACTCAGCTGCCTGCCATCATCTGCCCTCCAGCAAAAGGCATCTGCCCCCCCCCCCTTCCCAGCCAGCCAGCTGCAAGGCGGGATTAATTACCATTTTGCTGCAAATGAAATTAAGTTGGCGCAGTGTCGGTCAGCAGCTGCACGCGGATGTGGATTAAGCTGAGCCGCTGCTGCAAGTGAAGCGGTGGAGCCCCCCCCCCAGCCGCCCTCCCCTGAGGACTGGGCAGGGACAGGAATCCTGTGGGACAGCCGTTCTTAAAGAATCCCATTCTTCTTTAAGAATTCCCATTCCAGCTTTAAAGAGGGTTCTAAATCAGAAGCCTCCAACCTTGGCCCGCACATGGAGCCTGTTCCCCTCACTCACCTGATGCACCTTGGCCCCGCCTCGGGCCGCCGTGGCCTAACGGACCTGTGTGAGCTGCCGGCGGCGGTGGCAGCACGTGTGCCCACGAAGAGGGCGCTGAGTGCCGCCTCTGGCCCGCGTGCCATAGGTTCGCCGCCACTGTCTTATGTAATCCACATCAACAAGTTCACTTGGTGATGGGAACCGCCTGCTTCAAATCCACCCCTGTTCTGACACGGCAACCGTCATGAGTATGAACCGGCTGCCAAGCCTGTGAATTTTGATCACGTGATGCTGGGGATGCTGCATAAGGTCGTACGTGTGAGAAATGGTCCTAAGTCACTTTTTTTTCAGTGCTGTTGTAGCTTTGAACAGTCACTAAACGAACTCCTGTAAGGCGAGGAGTACCTGTATGGTGTCAGCGTTGCCTGTTACCCAGATCCCCAAACATAATTGCTGTCTGAAGTTTTTCCTTAACAGTCTTGACCTAGTCTGCTTTCCGTTCATGATGAGGCGGGGAAGGGACATTTAAGCCTGTGCTTCTTGCAGTATTAAGTAATAATTTTCCCAGCATGAGAGGCTGGGAGGGCCAGCCTTGCCCTCTGTTGCCAGGCACGGGAGAGCGGCTGAGAAGAAGATGCCCTCTGCACGTGCGAAGGGGCACTCTTTGTCTCCTTCCTTCACATTGAGGAATTAAGGATTTTGAGTCTGGGAATCTGGGCTCCTGCAGATTTCATATTTGTCTCCATATAGTTTCCTAGGCAGCAGTACTCTTGTCGTATTACAGATTGTTTTCCTTTGCTTCCCCTGCCAACCTGCTGGCCTCCCATCCAAATATAACCACCTCAAATCCTTCTGAGCCCAAACAAAGCAAGCCTTGATGGGCCCATAAATAAATAGCCCTCGGTGTATGCACAGACACAAACACTGGAGCTTTACCAGAAACAATCCACTCCGTCCCAGTGTATCACTGAAATGAGCTTTTTTTTTCTTCCTAAGGGCATTTTGGGGTGTGTTTATGTGTGTGGTGTGTGTGTGTGTGGGGGTGCAGCTAAGCAAAGCAGAAAATTCCACTCCCAGTTAAAAAAATGCAGGATTCCGGAACACATTTTTTCCTTTTTAATTGAGACTTTGGAGGGCCAAATGTTCCTTAGGTGTCAGAGATTGCATTCGTAGAACCTGACATCGGAGTAAATCCATTTTTGGATTGCATGCAATGCCCGAACCCCTAAATTTGTCCCAGCAAGCTAAGTTTGTGCAACATGACAAGCCTCTCCCCTGAAAACTAACCCAGATTGGCCACCAGGCTAGCAACTGGCTTGGTTAAGGATGCTGGGCCCGCTCAGCCAGAGCACGAGGGTTCAGCTAGCTAGCTACGGAGGACAGTGGTGGACATAAACCAGGTCCTCCTTTTAAAAAAAGAGTGTAAATATTAGCCATTAGAAGCTGCAGCTTTCTAAAAGCATGCTCCCGGTTCTTTGAGCCTATCCTTTTAGGGGTTTGAAATTAATGTCACTTAATTTAGTTTTACTTTTAATGTTTTCGAAGGGTTTTTTGTTGTTGCATCTTTGGTTATTTGTGTTGTCAACTCTGCAGGCTGCTCAGAGCTACTTGTGGAGAGGCCTGGCTATAACAAATCGAGCGAATAATTAAGCAAAAGGAAGTGGAAAACCACCGCAGCTGTAAAAAATCAGTTTACACTGGTTTATCTCTTTTGTTCTATTAGGGCAGGGGTCTTCAGACTTGGCCCTTTTATGACTTGTGAACTTCAACTCCCAGAATTCCTCAGCCAGGCACACCTTGCCTCCTGACAAGCAAAGTATAGGTTCTCCTGCTTGAGCGGGGGGCTGGACTAGAAGACCTCCAAGGACCCTTCCAGTTCTATTCTATTCTATTCTATTCTATTCTATTCTATTCTTATTCCATTATTCTATTCTATTCTATTCCCATTCCATTATTCTGTTCTGTTCTATTGTACTCTACTCTACTCCACTCCACTCCACTCCACTCCACTGTTCTGTTCTGTTCTGTTCTGTTCTGTTCTGTTCTGTTCTAAAGTCAATAGGGAAGCCAAATTCAGTTTAATGACCGGGTTACTAACTTAGCAACTGCAGTGATCCATTTAACCACTGTGGCAAGGAAGGTCGTAAAACGGGGCGAAACCCACTTAACAAATGTCTCACTTAGCAACAGAATTTTGGGGCTCAATTGTATTTGACTCCTGGATTTTAAAAAACACACACAGAGAGACAATAAAAAGTTTTTCAGCATCCTTAGCCCTGCAAAGCTCACGTTGCCTTGCTTGGCTGGCGGTGATGTATCTTGGGAGTAGCTCCTGCCGCCCTCCCCATCCCCTTCAGACCGTGGAGGGTCCCCCAAGGATTTGGGGCCCCGTGTGGAAAGGCGAGAAGCTGCCTCTCTTCGCTTCCAACTCAGAGTCCCCGACTTTGGCTGCCTGCTGTAGCTCTGGCACCGTCCGAAAACCTTGGATAGCTTTCCGAACGGGAAGTTTTTCTCCCTGCCAAGGAGAGAAATGGAGCCGGTTAAGAACAAGGCCTTAATCCTTTGAAATTCGCCCCACGCAGGGAGACTCTGCTGCTTATGGATGAGATCATGGGCTGGGCTTATCGGCCCTGTGCAGATTTCCAGTTGTCGTGTTGTGCTGGGGGCGCCTTGCAGGGGTGGATGGGGGGATATTGGTTGCCCTAAGTTCACATCCTCTACATTTGGGAGGGGGGGTGGCTTTGGGGAAACAGAATCCTGCGTTGGCTTCGTTTCGGTGCTATCCGGTGCCCCCTTGCCAAAGAATCCAAAGCTGGACTCTTTTTTTAATCCTCTTAAACTGGGCTAGATTGCGTCCCAGTCATTCCCAGTGCAGCAGGCCGATTCAGACCAGTTCCCCCCACTTCCAGGTGGCAAAGAAATTGTGAGCATGGGCATTTCCATCTCCAGGGGGTCAGAAAGGAAGGCTGAGAAAATAACTTAACAGACCCCTCACATCCTGGACATAAACTGTTTCGATTCCTCTCCTCAGGATGGCGCTAGAGGGCATTGCATGCCCAAACTACAAGAAACAAAAGATTTTTTTTTACCCGTGCCATCACTCTGCTGAACTCTTAATTCCCACGGCATTGTCTCACTTCTCGTCTTTTCTCACCCTCTCATCTTTCCTGCAACCTCCTCCTATTGGTTTCTTATGATTTATCAGTTGTTGTTTGTAACTTATTGTAACTATGATTTATGACCCATTACTTCTGTTTATATATACACTGAGAGCTTATGCATCGGAAACAAATTTCTTGTGTGTACAATCACACTTGGCAAATAAAGAATATTCTATTCTGCTCTGCTCTGCTCTGCTCTTTTCTGTTCTATTCTACTGTATTCTTATTCTACTCTACTCTACTCTACTCTACTCTTTTCTGTTCTATTCTACTGTATTCTTATTCTACTCTACTCTACTCTATTCTGTTCTATTCTACTGTATTCTTATTCTACTCTACTCTACTCTATTCTGTTCTGTTCTATTCTACTGTATTCTTATTCTACTCTACTCTACTCTACTCTACTCTACTCTTTTCTGTTCTATTCTACTGTATTCTTATTCTACTCTACTCTACTCTGTTCTGTTCTATTCTACTGTATTCTTATTCTACTCTACTCTACTCTACTCTACTCTTTTCTGTTCTATTCTACTGTATTCTTATTCTACTCTACTCTACTCTACTCTACTCTTTTCTGTTCTATTCTACTGTATTCTTATTCTACTCTACTCTACTCTTTTCTGTTCTATTCTACTGTATTCTTATTCTACTCTACTCTACTCTACTCTACTCTTTTCTGTTCTATTCTACTGTATTCTTATTCTACTCTACTCTACTCTTTTCTGTTCTATTCTACTGTATTCTTATTCTACTCTACTCTACTCTGTTCTGTTCTATTCTACTGTATTCTTATTCTTATTCTTATTCTATTCTACTCTGCTCTGCTCTGCTCTGTTCTGTTCTACTGTATTCTTATTCTATTCTATTCTATTCTATTCTATTCTATTCTATTCTATTCTATTCTATTCACATCCTTGAGCTCCTGGAGAAGAAGTAGCTGCTAAAATTTAATCAATTGATATTCAGATGATGACTGCTGGAGACCCTACGAAGCTGGTTGTAATGTTACAGGAGTCCTTTATTTTGTGGGCAAATAGCAGAATTTGTGTAATCCGGCTGCAGATTTTCCTGTTTTTCCAGCCCTCCCTCCCTTCTGAAGCCCGCACTGACCCAATTTCTTTCTTCCTCCTCTCTCTGCCCCTTCTTCCTCCTCCCCCCCCTCGCGCTCTCCAGGACCAGGGGACTGTGGGAGTCATTTTCAATGTGGGCACGGACGACATCACGATCGAGGAGAGCAACGCCATGGTGAACGACGGCAAGTACCACGTGGTCCGTTTCACCCGGAGCGGCGGCAACGCAACGCTGCAAGTGGACAACTGGCCCATCAACGAACGATACCCGGCAGGTAGGGATCACAAAGCATCATCTGCCATCGTCCCCTTCTCTCTTTCCCCCGACGGCGGAGGTTGGAACCACCGGGCCCTCTTTTCCTTTCTGCCAGAGGCGGGGGGGGGGGGCAACTGTCCTGGCCTCTGGGTGGCATCTCCTGTCCTTTCCAGAACCTCTGGGGCTTCCTCCCATGCTCACACGTTGCAAGCCGAGGAAGGATGGGGAGAATCGGAAGGAGGAATCGGGAGAAGAGACTCAGGATGTGGGGCTTAGGAAAGTGTCTTTAGAGCTGAGGTCCTGTTCCAGTCTTACCTCTTCTGAAGCATCTCCGACAAGGAAGGCGCTCCTGTAAATAGTCCCACTTCTCTGGAGGTGCTGGAAATTGCAAGGCTTTGAAATAATAGAAAATACTTGTAGCTCCAGGGTTTGTTCTCCAAGCTTGTTTTAAGAGACTTTCTGGACGTCTCGTTACCAAGCTAGGTAACTTCATCAGCAGGATTTCCTCGTCCTCTTCTCCCCTTAGCTCAGGGGTAGGCAACCTTGGCTCTTTTATGACTCGTGGACTTCAACTCCCAGAATTCCTGAGCCAGCTTGGCTGGCTCAGGAATTCTGGGAGTTGAAGTCCACGAGTCATAAAAGAGCCAAGGTTGCCTATCCCTGACTTAGCTCATCAACCTCTTGTGTGCCAGTGTGGTCAGTCGGTCGTGCGGTTGGCTGGTGGTTTGGAGCTATATTTGAAACTTTGAGGAGACGTCGTTCCGTTCTAAGCAGACCGTTTCCGTTTCTCTTCCAGCCGGGAAATCTTCCCGGCTTTTAGTTCCCATCTGCCACTTCTTTTCCTGCTGCCCCTCGCAATGTCTACCAACTGCTATCCCACCCCAGGAAGCCCCTCTTCTGAGGCACAAATGAGCTAATTGAACATGTGCCCCACATGGTGCAAAATCCCAACCCCTGCACAGGGAGTCCTCAACTTACGACAGTTCATTTAGCGACAGTTCGAAGTTACAAGGGCACAGGGAAAAAAGGGACTTATGACCGTTTCCCACACTTAAGACCCTTGCAGCATCCCTTGGATCACGTGATCAAACTTTGGCTGCTTGGCAACTGACTTGTATTTATGACGGTTGCATTGTCCCGAGGTCGTGCGATCCCCTTTTGTGGATTTTCTGACAAGTAAAGTCAGTGGGGAAGCCAGATTCGCTTAACGACCGTGTTGCTAACTTAAAAACTGGCTGTTTTATGTAGTGGGTTCTTGCTTCCAGTCCATCTCGCTGGCCATCTGCAGCATTATATGTCACCCTTGTCAACTTTAAGATGGGCGGACTTCAACTCCCAGAATACCCCAGAGCTGGCTGCAGAATTCTGGGAGTTGAAGTCCCCCCGTCTTACAGTTGACAAGGTTGAAAAAGAATGCTCTACAGGTTTCTCCCTTCACTAAGAAAGGCCATCTTCTGTAGCTGAAATGAAAAGGCCCAGATTCTCTTTTTTCCACCTTCCCTTTTCTTTTTCTCTATCTTCCCTGATTGATGATGGGAGTCCTTGACATCCTTTCCGCCATGACATTTCCACACACCCCGATCAAGTAATTTTTGCATCTCTTTTCAGCAGCAGCCGGGGGGGGGGAGAGGGATAATCCTGCGTATCGCGATTTCATCTAGCTTCTTCCTTGAAAAGGCTGGCTGTGATGAAAGTTCACAGCCCGCATTGGAGATGCATAGAGCTGGAGGGAGATAAGCAAGGGCAAGGAGGGGGGTCTGCAAGAGGAGAGATGTTCCTCCAGGGAAAACTGGACAGGGAGAACTTTGTTGAGTCAAGAATGGCGGGAGGGGGGAGCTATTTAGAGGTACAGACCTCCAGCTTCGCCACAGCAGGCAGTCGCCCCTCCCCAACACCGAGTATTTCTACCCCGTAGATCTTGGACAAACTGCATCGGGGCATCCCTCTTCCCATCCTTCCGTTCAATTAAGCGTATCTTGGGGATCCTCTTTGGGCAGTGGGTCGGTTCCAACCTCCGCTGAATCAGACCAGGTGACTCGGGAAGCTGGATGGTGCTGGCACGAAATTGGAAAGTTGCCTACGGCCCTGGCAAGACACCCTGGCTGGAAATCCCTTCTCCCAAATCCATTTCAAGGTTGAATCACACACCGTTCCACTGGCTTCTCCCTCCCCACCTCCAGAAACTTCAAAGTGGAGGGAGCAAATCTAACTGAGGTCAAGGCATGGAGGGCTTCTTGGTAGCAAGGATTTGCCAACATTTCTCATACACGCGCGCACAAACACACACACACACACACACACACACACACATATGTGATGCCTCCGGCTCACCTCGCTGTGAATCAGTTTGATGCAGCCTTGTCTAATGCAGCTGCAATGGTTTCAAGATGGGTGGCTGTATAAATATGTTTTAAATAAATAGCCAGGCATTGCCATCTCTTACCCTGGCACTCTGGAAATCCTACTCAGTTGGACATCCCAAGGGTGATTTCTTTCAAAAGCCAAGTGGACTTTCTTGTTTTGCTTGATGACGTTTCCCTTCTCATCCAAGAAGCTTCTTCGGTTCTGACTAAATGGTGGGGAATGGAAGGATTGATCATCATTGCCGTCATCTGGTCGTTAGTACTCCCTCTGAGAGTTGTTGAGGTCACTTGGAGGTTTATCTGTGCCCTCGGGGTCACCTGAATAGTTCAAATGGGTGTGGAACCTTCTTGGAACTGCTGAAAGGACTGTGTTGTAAACACACTGAAACTCCTTTCAGCAGTTCCAAGAAGGTTCCACACCCATTTGCACCACTCAGGTGACCCTGAGGACACAGATAAACCTCCACGTGGCCTCAACGACTCTCAGAGAGAATACTAACAACCAGGTGACTGCAAGGAATATAAATCCTTCCATTCCCCACCGTTCAGTCAGAACTGAAGAAGCTTCTCGGGTGATAAGCGAAACGTCTTCAGGGAAAAAGCACCTTTGGGACAACCACGACCTGGATGACTGAGAATCTCCATTGACCTTTAGCCAGCTGGACAGATCCTCTGTCTGTCATCCCAGAACTGTCCAAGGTGCTGAACCACACAGGAATCTTGCAAGCCTCTTTCTGCCTCCAGAACAGCTTCTCTGGGAGTTGTGCAAGATTTAAGACTTGTGGACTTTTAACTTGCAGAATTCTGGGAGTTGAAGTCCACAGGTCTTGAAGTTACCAAGGTTGGAGACGACCCCCCCCCCATACAAATGTTTTAAATAAATAACCGGAAGTTGCCATCTTCATCCTGGCACGCTGGAAATCCTACTCATCTGGACAGAGCGTCTATCTGTCATCCCAGAGCTGTCCAAGGTGCTGAATCACACAGGAGCCTTGATTCTTTCTGCGTCCTGGGAGTTGCACAGATGTGCCCACTGTAATGGGGACCCCTCCGGCTTCGGGTTGGGGCACATCCTGGAACGTTTATTTATGTGGATAATCTGCCTTTGAAAGGAAGTCCTCTCTGCTGGCAGTTGTGTCAGGAGTCGACAGCCACGCTTCTTCTCAAAGTCTTGGTGCAGAATCAGTCAATCAATCAATCAATCAATCAGAATAGAGCTAGAAGGGACCTTGGAGATCTTCTAGTCCAGCCCCCTGCTCAAGCAGGAGACCCTATACCATCTCGGACAAGTGGCTGTCCAGTCTTTTCTTAGAAACCTTCAGCGATGAAGCACCCACAACTTCTGAAGGCAAGTTGTGCATTATTTTGAACTTGAGCATTCTTTCCCCCCCGTCATGGAAGAAACTCTCTTTTTACCTAGCCCAGGGCAGGCTGGAAAGCAGGTTTACTCAGCTGCCGTTACTTCGCCAGCCCTTTACATTTTTTGCCAAAAAGTTGGCGCTTCAGACATCATCCCCGGCCTGGTGTTCAGAAACACACCTTGAGGGTTGGTGTCGTGTCAGCCAACAGACGGGCCCTGAGGTATCTAGCCAGGAGAGATTCTAGCCCGCTCCTCCGAACCCTTTCTTCGTGAGCCATGTGGATGTTTCCAAATACAGGTGAGATAAAAGTGGATGAAATTCTTCAAGGGCAGGTCGACTGGTCATTCAAGCACCTTTCATGCAGAGCTAAACCCTGCACACAATCCCGGCACACACCCGGGACCCTGCTAGAATAGAACCTTCGACTTGGAAGGGTTCCACGAGGCCATCAAGTCCAGCCCCTGGTTCCGTGCAAACTGAAGCATCCCTGGCAGACGCTGTACAGACCCTGCTTGGTCCCGTCACCCAAAGCAGACCTCCCGGCGGCCTAAATATGGAGTCCGGAAAACAGCTTGCCCGCGCCGTGGGATGTCACATCAAAATCGGCAAAAAGGAAGGCATCCGAAAGGGGCTTTGGGGGGAGTGGGTTTATAAGAACGCTCTGCAGACAATTGGCGGGGCCTGAATTGCTCCCTTCTTTGGAAGATGCAAAGTGCAGCCCAGAATTTTGCTTCTTTTATTCGGAAAATACAAAGGGCCCCGACAGAACCCCCCCCCCCCGCTCAGCCCGATGGCGACAACGCTATTCTTTGAAACCAGTTAATTAACACCGAAGTGACATTATTCCCAGGCGTTTTTTGTGACACCTTTCCCCCCCCCCTCGATCTCCCAAGTTTTCTGTTGCTGTTACATTAAGCCGGGAAGAACAGCCCAGTTTATTAAAGCCAGTCTGGGGTTTTTTTTGTTTTTTTTTTAAGGCAAGCATCTCGGCAGAAAGCCATTTATTTATCCGCCTTTAAAAATAAGCATAAATCTGTTTCAGCCTACGGAAGGAGGGGGGGAATTGGCAGTGGCATCTTTAAGATACTCTGAAGAGAAAACCCGGTGGTGGGGAGGAATGCAGGAGAATGAGAAATGTTTAGTAAGAAATACTGCAGGGCCCAGAGGTGGCGCAGAGGAATGCTGCTATCATGTGTCCCCCCCCCCCCCGGTCCTTCTTTTCTCCAGACTAGCCAAACCCAATTCCTGCCACCGTTCTTTGTATGTTTTAGTTTTCAGGCCTTCAATCATCTTCCTTGCTCTTCTCTGTGCTCCAGTCTGCCAAACCTCGTTTTTTCTCAATCATTGGGCTGATTGACAGCCGTCGGGCCCCCCCCCCCTTGCATAGAAGGCACTGCTGAGGCTCACCCACTGAAGCATGGATGGTTGCACTGCTGCACTTCCATCTCCGACAAATGTCTTCTTTTGTTGATTTGTTTAGCTGACTTTGTTGGGCTGTCGTTGGGTGAGTGGAGGGCGGGCGGGCCTCCCAGTCCCGTGCAGATAAGACTCCAGCTGTGAAATTGAGTGTAGAGCCGGATCCTAATTGCAGACTCCGGTCACTTTCTGAGGATGGCGTATTTTTAATTAAAAGATGTTAATCGGCTGGTTAATACGGAAGCTAATGAGAGCACGAAAAGTCCCCGACTTCTCTCTAATTAGGGGACTGAATTGCTGCACGCAGATTGAGAAGCAGAGACGGGGCTTGGAAAGGGGAGTACCCCTCAGCCCCTCAATTCCTCCCCTCCCCCCCCCAGGAAAGGGTCTCTGAGCTTCGCTGGGCAGCTCTATCCTGGCTCAGCTGCTGAGAAGTCCCCCCCTCTTGGAAAATGGAAAGGAAGACTCGTCTCTAGGGAAGGGAAACCACCCAGTTGCAGTGCAGAAAATGGCATGTGTTACCAAACAATCCTCCCCAGCTACTTTTCCCCAAATAGACCCGAGCCTCAGAAATGTGGCTTGGACTAGGAAAGAGTTCCATAGGTGTGGGGCAGTGCAGTGTGAGGGAGCAGAGGAGGAGGAGGAGGAGGAGGAGGAGGAGGAGGAGGAGGAGGAGGACCGTGGGGTCCTAGGTGCTCTCTGAGCTTGGTTCTTTTCTTGCAGACATTTCTTTACCCAACTAGCTAACATCATCAGTGCTAGAAGAGAGTGGGGTGTGCAGGGAGGAGGAGGACAAGGACAAACCTGAACATCTTGGGCAAGAGTGGGCCTTGTCCACCACAGCCAAGAGATTGATTGCTAGATATTCCCTAAATACATTCCCACTGCTGCCTGGAGACAGGGAGGGAGGGAAAGAAGAAAGGAAGAAAGGAAGGAAGGGTAGGTAGGAAGGAAGGAAGGAAGGAAGGAAGGAAGGAAGGGTAGGTAGGTAGGTAGGTAGGTAGGAAGGAAGGAAGGAAGGAAGGAAGGAAGGAAGGAAGGAAGGAAGGAAGGAAGGGAAGGGAAGGAGGGAAGGAAGGAAGAGAAGGAGGGAAGGAAAGAAGGAAGGAAGGAAGGAAGGAAGGAAGGAAGAGAAGGAGGGAAGGAAGGAAGGAAGGAAGGAAGGAAGTCAGTCAGTCAGTCAGTCAGTCAGTCAGTCAGTCAGTCAGTCTCTGGTTTCCCAGCTTAGTAACTCCTATACAGCATGTACCACATTCCTAGAGTTCCAGAAGACTTGTCTTTATTGTCCAGCCCCAATGGAAGATCTATACGTCTTTGGGAAAACATCAACCATTCCAACCGGGTCTTTTGCCTGCTAGCAGATTCCTGCCAACTTCTCCGTCCATCCCTCAAGCCGTTCCTGATCTCAGAAGCTTTGCGACATCCCAAAGCCTCCCATCTGCTGCTTTCAAAAATGGCTTCCTCGCTGGCACTCATTTAAGAGACCCTTAACTTGCGTTGCCTTCCCAGAGCCAGGGAAACGTGAACCCTGGGTTTCCTTTTGCAACAAATATTGCACTCCGTCGAGAAGCAGCAGTTGCTCGCCCGCCTTTCTTGGGACTTGGGACTTCATAGAGCCGACAACGTCCGGGAGTGCTAGTGGCACGTTGTTTGGAAGGAACCTATTTCTTCCATTTTTGAAGCGCTCCCTCTCCTCTGCGGCTTCCTTCAGCACAGTTTGGGGATCCGGAGTCCTGCCTTATCTCCAGCCAGGAATCTTTTGGCCATATTTGGCGGACCTCATGGTGGGTGTGGCTGGCTCCGTTTCTGCCTCTAGACCAGGTGAACGGTGAACTGTGAAACATCTTCAAAGAAAAACAAACAACTGGTCATTTGCCTTCTTTCAGAGAGCCGTTGAGGCCACTTGGAGGTTTATCTGTGTCCTCAGGATCACCTGAGTGGTGCAAATGGATGGGGAGCCTTCTTGGAATTGCTGAAAGGACTGTGTGTTCCACTCCCATTTTTTCACTACTCAAATGACCCTGAAGATACAGGTAAACCTCCAAGTGGCTTCAAGGACTCTCTAAAAAGAATGCAAATAACCAGCTGTCTGCAAGGAGTATAAATCCTTCCATTCCCCACCATCCAATCAGAGCTGAAGAAGCTTCTTGGATGAGAAGCTAAACCTCTTCCAAGAAAAACAAGAAAGTCCAGTGTCCTCGTGAAAAAGCACCTTTGGGATAACTATGGCCTGGAAGATTGAGAATCTCCATAGACAACCTGGGGACAAGATCTCCCAAGGCTGGTTGTTCGGACTGTGTTTTGAACCCAACCAGGCCGCCCATCCCATCTCAAGCTACTAGTTTGCGCAGCTCTCCAAGATCGCGGATGTGGGAAACGACGGTCCACGGTGTGTGATTCTAACTCTCTTTTAAAACGTGACGGTTGGGGAAAACAATTGGAAGAGGGCGGGGTGGGGGGAAGCTTCAAAAGATTGTCCCGTCTCTTGAAGCCCAACTTTTGTGCGTTCACTTTTAAAAGATATCAAATTTGGGTCTGCTTGTTGCCCACCATCACCTTCCCAAAACGCCTGGTTCACTCTCAGCCTTTGGACCCCCTCTGTCGTTATTTTGGTAACTCCATTCCTTTGCCCCTTTTCAGATGCCAAAGCGGGAGAAATCCGAAGGGGGTCTCTCTCTTTTTTGGGGTGGGTGGGTTACCGAATGGTGGGGGTGGGTGGGACAGGGGAAGGGAAGATTGCTTTTTGGTGGAGTTGGCAGGCAGGGAACCAACCTGGACATGGAATCTTAAATTAAACCAAAAAGCTGGGGGGACCAAAACGACAGTCCTATGGGTTTGGGAAAGGAAACTTTTGGGAGAGAGTTTTGACAGCGCAATGTTGCTTTTTCCGCCATTTTGTGACGTAGAACATAAAGTCGGCTAATAAAGTGAATTTAATTTTTTGCTTAAAAAAAAACAAAAGGAAACAAACAACAACAACAAAAAAAGGCCCTGGGGAGAATTGGTCCCTTTCCCCGGGGCTACATAAAGCCTTCTAACTTCCATCTACTCATCCTAACCCTTAAACTAAACCGTATAACTAGTGTTTTATTCATTGTGGCTAAAATCGCTAAACTCCCCCCCCAAACAGACTGCCCTTCCCTCCCTCCCCCCCACCCACCCCCCAAAAAAAGGAATTAATGGAAAACTTAACCGCTAATTTTTGATCCAACTGCTTAAACTGCTGTTTGGAGTGTAGTCTGACCTCTCTAAATTTGCTAACCTCTGACCTTTGACCTTCCAGATGGCGTATATGTCTCTTTTTTTATCTCTCTCTCTCTCTCTATTCTTCTTAATTTTTTTTTAATATTATTATTATTATTTCTTTTAACTTTTTTTTGGTGTTCTTTTTCTTTCTCTTTTTTAACCGTCTGCAAATCTCTCTCTAAACTTTTTGAAGGGAACACTGATAATGAACGGCTGGCGATTGCTAGACAAAGAATACCGTATCGACTCGGTCGAGTAGTAGATGAATGGCTACTCGACAAAGGTAACTAATGATAATTAATAATTCCGGTTAACTCACAAACAAGTAAAAAACAACAACAAGGTTTTAAAGGTGCAGCTCTTGCCCCATAGCTCCCTCTCCCCTTTCCGCCTTCTTCCCTTCTTGCTTGCAGAGAGATGGCTCAGCCAGTTAAGCCAGGGGTCTTCAAACTTGTCCCTTTGATGACTTGTGGACTTCAACTCCCAGAATTCCTCAGCCAGCCTCCATTTTGTTTGTTAGATTTAAGACAGGGGTCTTCAAACTTGGCCCTTTGATGACTTGTGGACTTCAACTCCCAGAATTCCTCAGCCAGGCACATGTGCCTGGCTGAGGAATTCTGGGAGTTGAAGTCCACAAGTCATCAAAGGGCCAAGTTTGAAGACCCCTAAGTTAAGCAGAGGCAAAGTTGGGGAGCTGGAGAAGAGTTATTGGCCAGGATTGCTTTGGTTTCTAAAGGTCGAATCGTAGCAACTGGACCAAACCAAACCAAGTTTGGTCCAGTTGCCATGATTCAGCCTTTAAACAGACACTTTTTGGCCTGGATGATTGAGTCTTCATTGACACATCGGTTTGATTGTCTCCCTAAATAGGGCTGCGTTTTCTGTGAAAAGGGGGGGGGGAATCTGATGGGCAGGGAGCAGATTTGGGGTGCAGGCCTCTTTCGCCAGGTCCACCAGCAGCGCCGACGCCACACGCGTGTGAGCGCTCGTGTCCTCATGAGTGAGACACAAAGAGATGGGAGGAAGGGAGCAGCTGCTTATGGCTGCTTATAGCATTTCATCTTGAAGACGTTTGTCACAAAGCTTCTCTTGCAAAGAAGCAACGCACAAACACACACACACACACACACATACACACTCTTAGGAATGAAGAAGTCGAATGGTGAGTCCCAAGAATCGGCCGTTTTGGATCAGAAGGTCGAGAGAAGCATCCCTGGAGCATCATTTGCTAGAATTTGCTTAAGATGGGTGGATTTCAACCCTCCCAGAATGCTCCTACCAACATACTAGCCGAGGAATTCTGGGAGTTGAAGTCCATCCGTCTTAAACTTGCTGAGGTTGAGAATCGCAGAGCATCCAGCATGGAAGCTCTTCTAGGAAGCATGGACTTCACTTCCCAGAATTCTCTCCGGTGGTCACGCCAGCTGGCGGCATTAAGGCGTTGAAATTCACACTTCTGGAGATCAGCCAAGTTGGGGGGGGCTCTGAAGCATCACCTGACTCAAATTGGAGAAGGGGGAGAGCTGTTTTGGAGGTAGTCTAATCGGTAAAGTTACAGGCCTGAAATAAGACAAGGGACTCTGTTGGAAACCTTGTTCTAACGCAGCGTTTCTTTAACCTCAGCAACTTTTGGACGGGTGGACTTCAACTCCCAGAATTCCCCCAGCCAGGCTTTTTGTCCCATTTGCTGCTGACAAACCCACCTCCAATTTTATACCCCTTGTTCGTTTAGCTTTTGTTTTATTTATGGGAGTTGAAGTTCACCCGTCTTAAAGCCTGCTGGCTGGGGGATTCTGGGAGTCGAAGCCCACCCGTCTGAAAGTTACCGAGGTTGAGAAACACTTGTTTGCAAGGCTCCATAAGACCCCCCAAATGTTCCTTCTTCTCAGGCCTTCCTCTCCCAGCCTTCCTGAGATCACAAGCTGGGTTGCTTTTAGCTTTGATGGACCGTTTCCCCCTCTTGTGACTTTGGCGAGAGATGTTTACCGCTGGAATGACCGCCTCTCCTTCAGCATCAATCACCTGCCCAGACATCAGGTGGTCAGCTGAGCAGGAAAAGATGAAAAAGGGACACAGGGACTTGTAAGCAGGTGGGGAAGGTGTGGGATGAAGCAGGAATTCCTCTCAGAGGTGATTCCCTGAATTTTTCCCCACCGAGAGGTCAGCATATTGGTCTGCTTCCCTAAGTAACGTAGCCACCATCATCTTCCTCTTTGTCTCTTCTCATCAGTTTTGAAGCTTAACAAAATCTCTCTGTTTATTAAATTTCTTGAACGACGCATCTAACCCATTTGGGGCGAGAGCTGCACCTTTAACACTTTAAACTCAGCGGGGAAGGAATGAGCAAAACAGGAAAAAAAAAAAACAACAACCCAAAGAACAGAAAGATCATTTCTAAATTATAACTTAACCATCTAATCACACTTTTAACGTGCTTTTTAACTCAAACCAAAGTACTAAACCGCTTTTTTAACCGCTAAATTCCAACTGGCTTAACAATCATCGGCAGGTGATTATTCTAAAGGGGGGCGGCGGGGGAGAACGGGACCTCTTAAATGTATATTTTTTAATGTCGGTGCCTTGATGGTTTAAACAGGCTGTAGTTACCAAACCAACAAAAATATAATTAAAGGGACTTCTAAAGCATCCGAGTAACCAAAAAAACAAACAAACAAACAAACAAAAAACAAATGAGAGAAGGAAAAAAAAAGGAAGAAAAAGCAGCAGAAATTCAGAGGGTTGTGAAAAGGGGGGTGGGGGGGTCCTAAAGATGGGGAAGGAATGTGGAGAATAAAAGGAAACACAGAGGATAAATGTATGTGAGTAACTCTTTATTGTTATTAAAACAGCACTTTCTTCCATGCACTTTTTTTCTTTCCGTCACGAGGGGGTATGCAGGATGGGGCCACGTTTTTGGGGTGCAGAGAGCGAGGGTCAGCCTTTGGGGTGTGTCCTTTTCCCAAACCATTCCCACATCCCTTTTCTCCCTGGGAAAATTGAGCTAATTTGGACAGCAATGATTTCTGCTTGTTTTTCATAGTTCTAGGAAGGTTGCAAGGCCTCAAGCTTCTGTTCCACCTGTGCTGTGCACACACACACACTCCAAAAATGGGGGAAATGGTTATATCTATTTTTTTTTAAAATGGGCCATTGTGTCCTGCTAAAATCTTGGGGAGGGATTTTCCCTCTGGCTTTGGAGGGAAGTGCTTTAATGGAATTGAGGCTTTCTGCTCGCATGTTTAAAATTTCCCAGCTCAAATGTGTGAGAATTCACACCACTGATCACAGTTAAAAAATAAAATAAAATTGCAGGACAGGAAAAACAGCTGGGCATTTACATATTATCCTCAATTGGAAGGGCAATGTAAAAAAGATGTTGAGACTCTAGAAAGAGTGCAGAGAAGAGCAACAAAGATGATTAGGGGACGGACTAAAACATATAAGGAACGGTTGCTGGAATTGGGTATGTCTAGTTTAACAAAGAGAAGGATGAGGGGGGACATGATAGAAGTGTTCCAGTATCTCAGGGGCTGCCCCAAAGAAGAGGGAGTCAAGCTATTCTCCAAAGCGCCTGAAGGCAGGACAAGAAGCAACGGGTGGAAACTAATCAAGGAGAGAAGCAACCTAGAACTAAGGAGAAACTTCCTGACAGTTAGAACAATTAACCAGTGGAACAGCCTGCCTCCAGAAGCGTTGAATGCTCCAACACTGGAAGTTTTAAAGAAGAGACTGGACAGCCATCTGTCCGAAATGGTGTAGGGTTTCCTGCCTGAGCAGGGGGTTGGACTAGATGACCTCCAAGGTCCCATAATCCCCAGCCTGCTGGGACTGTTGGGCTCAGCAAGACCAGATGAAAGGCTCATCGGCTGGATTTCCACATTTGAGTTTAGCTGCTTTATATTGACTAACCACCATCGACCGCTTTCACGCATCAAAACATATTCCCGAATGGTGGTTTGAAAAGCAATGTTCCTTGTGAATCGGTGCAACCTGTATCCAGTTGGGAATAAAGGCTCGGTGGAGAGCAGACCACCAGCAAAGGGCTGGCGAATTTCTCCACCCCATAACCGATGCCAAAACAACAAACCACCATCGTGGGCTCAGATTTGTTTAGCCTGGGTTCAGAAGCTGTGTCTTTCCAAACTAAACCATCTCATCTAGTCCAGTGATGGCGAACCTTTTAGAGACCGAGTGCCCAAACTGCAACCCAAAACCCACTTATGCATCGTCGGGTGCCGGGTGGGTGTGGCCCATTGGGTGGGCGTGGCTGCAGTGGTAACAGCAGACTGGGTGGGACTAAAAAGTTCAATCAATCAATTCCAACTTTGCGAGATCTTTTTTTTCCCCGTGAGAAGTTGAAATTGACTGATTGAACCTTTTTTTTTTTTTTTGCGCGGATGAGGCCTAAAGCGAAAAGGTTTTATAAAACCCAGCTGAAGGCCTAGGACTGGGGCGATGGCGCGCGTGCCCACAGAGAGGGCTCTGTGTTCCACCTGTGGCACGCGTGCCATAGATTCGCCACCATGGATCTAGTCTTTGCTTTATCACCGGAAGAAATGTTTGAGTCCTCCTAACTTTTTGCCCACTAGGAAAAATGGCAAGACCGCAAAAGGTCGCAAAAGGGGATGACATGAGCCTGGGACGCTACAACCGTCATAAATAGGAAGCCTCTGAATTTTGATCACCTGACCCTGGGGACGCTGCAACGGTCATAAGTGTGAAAACGGTCACAAGTCGCATTTTTCAGTGGCATGGTAACTTCAAACAGTTCTACTGTAAGTTGAGGGCTACCTGTATTTATTCTCACAATTACTTTGTGCTGCAACCCACAGTATCAGCCCAGCGGGAACTTGCAAGGGCAAAACTTTCCCATTGGCTCATATCCACCGGCTGGGCTCACACCAGGCGCTTAAATAGGCCGGTGGAAACCGGGTGTGTGCCTTTGCACAACCTGCTAAGCTCAGTTCATTTTCCATCTGTGTATGTGTGTGTGTGAGAGAGAGAGATGGGGGGGGGGGAGACAGACAGAGACAAACAGGGAGAGAGGAGAAGAGAAAGACGAAAAGAGAAAGAGAAGGAGAGAGGAGAGGAAAAAGGGAGAAAGAAGGAGAGAGAGAAAAGGAGAGGAGAGAAAAAAGGAGCAAAAGAGGAGAGGAGAGAAAAGGGTGAGAGAGAAGGAGAGAGGAGAGGAGAGAGAAAGGAGAGGAGAGAAAAGGGAGAGGAGGGGAGAGAGGAGAGGAGAGAGAAAAAGAGGAGAGAAAGAAAGAGAAGAGAGATAAAGAAAGAGAGGAGAGAGAGAGAGATATGAATCCAACCTGTTTGGATTACTTTATGATTTGACTTTCTTACACAAAGTAAATTAATCAGGTGATCAAGTTTTGGGTGGTCTCTGCACCCATCCTCACATTCCATTTAGCATCACAAGGATTGCGGCAAGAATCTGGCTCTAGCGATGAGCCTCCCGGAGTGCCAGCAAGCCTGAGCAATAATGAAGGTTTACACAAACACACAATGGGGGAGTTATATTAGCTACTTAGCCAGGTTTGTTCCTGATTTACTCATGGAGATTGCTAAATCCTCTTAGTTTGCACAGATGTTTGATTTGGCCGTGGTGCTATTTTCTCTCTGTGTCTCTCTTGTAGACAGACATGCACATAGACACACAAACACACAAACATCTTTGGTTTGCAATCAAACAACAAAATTGCCCTTTGGCTTTACTCCCGTGCATTTATTTCATTGTAGCATCTCAGCTTGGTCTCCAATCTGTCTCATGCCTAGCAACACGTGTGGGATCATCAGCTCATATATGCACCTCTGCACACATGTGGAAAAGTACACAGGGCCCCTGGAGGGACAGGCAAAATAAACACGCCAGCGGGAAACATTAAATCTGGAGGAAAAGGGCCCATTAAGAGCCAAAACTAATTAGCTAAACCAAATGGGAAGGGTGTGTGTGAAATCCTTGAGGACTTGAATCCTTGCAAGGAAGTTGTTTATTTGGGGCCTGATCCATTACCCTGGAGCAAATAAGCCCGTAAAATATAAAAAAAAATATTCTTGTTTTCCAAACCAAAGGGAGCCAAAAAGAGAGGCGAGAGGGTTGAAAAGATCCGCTTGCAAATTTTTTCAAGGAAGGGAAGAAAAAAAAACACCAAAAGCAGTGATGGGTTTCATTTTGCTGATTTAGGAAGTACAAGTCGTCCTTGAGCTACAACAGTTCACTTAATGACCGTTCGAACTTACGATGGCACTGGAAAAAAATGACTTATGACCGTTGCAGCATCCTCGTGATCACTTGACTTACATTCAGGTCCTTAGAAACTCATATTTATGACCGCCGCAGCGTCCCGGGGGGTTGTCACGTGATCCCCTTTTGCGACCTTCTGACAAGCAAAGTCAATGGGGAAGCCAGATTCACTTAACAACCAAGTTACTAACTTATCAATGGCAGTGATTCACTTAACAGCCATGTCTTTGTCTCCTCTGACAGGCTGAGGCTGGGGGAGACGAAATTGGAACCAGATAGGGAAGATTTGGGGAGGGGGGTGCCTTCCACTGTGGACCTGAATTCTTTGCATGGTTGGGAAACGGCAGCGTACCCCCAACTGGTGGGGGAAATCCTAGCAGGACCACCCACCCACCTACCCACCCCATCCATTTTGGCCACCGCTCACCAGAGTTTTGTAAAGCTTGCTTTCCAAATCAGCACGTAGCCTGTTTTCCCGAAAATAAGACCCCCCCCCAAACTGGAAAAACGAGCCCTAACGTGATTTGTTTTCCCAGGACGTTCGTAATATACCCCCCCCCCAAAATAAGCCCCAGTTAAGATCGTCAGCCAGACGGAGGCATTTAGTACCGTATTTCCCCGAATATAAGACCTAGCCGGAAAATAAGCCCTAATGGATTTTTGGGATCAACAATTAACATAAGACCCGGTCTTGTTTTGTGAGAAATAATGGGTAGCTCGGCCAGGATGGACGGGCTTCCCATCCCTTTGCCTCCTCTGATTGCCACGGGCGATGCTGAACTTCGATCCTGAACCATAATCCATTTTCTGCACTCAAGGCATCGTAGAGTGATCAAATGGATCCCGGATCCACTATGACCCATGTGCACAGCTGCATATGAGTTTAGGGTCTCCTGGGAATGAGGTTTGAGGGATTTTTATTTGCCTAAGGCAGGGGTAGGCAACCTTGGCTCTTTTATGACTCGTGGACTTCAACTCCCAGAATTCCTGAGCCAGCATGGCTCAGCTTGGAAACTTCTCTCTTTCCCCTCAGCGTGGCTGGCTGAGGAATTCTGGGAGTTGAAGTCCACGAGTCATAAAAAAGCCAAGGTGGCCTACCTCTGGCCTAAGGGACACATAATTCTGTTCACCAGGGGACAGAATGAACCCGTTTTATGGATTCACCCCATCCTTTAAGCCAAGGGTAGGCCACCTTGGCTCTTTTATGACTCGTGGACTTCAATTCCCAGAATTCCTGAGCCAGCCACGTGCTTTAAGCCATAAAGCAGTCCAACTCAATGCAGATAGTCCTCGACTTAACGACAGTCCATTTAGTGGCCGTTCGAAATGACAACGGCACGGAAAGAAGTCACTTGTGGCTGTTTTTCCACACTTAACAACCGTCGCAGCATGCCCATGGTGACGTGATCAAAATTCGGCCGCTTGGCAAACCGACTCACATTTATGACGGTGGCGGCGTCCCAGTGCTTTGGGGACCTTTTCTGACTAAAGCCGAGTCAACGGGGAAGCTGGATTGACTTAACAACTCCGTTGCTAATTAAACAACCGCAGCGATCCACTTAACAAACCGTGGCAGGAACGTTCGTTAAAATGGGGGCCAAGCTCACTTAACCAACGTCCCACTTAGCAACAGAAATCTGGGGTTCCGTTGTGGTTGTAAGCCGAGGACTACCCGTACAGCAAGGTTAACGTTGCACGCTCAACGTCGTGAGCAAACGCCTCTGCTGAGCTTCCCAGCGAGTGTGCGCCTGGTGAAAAGCCAGCCAGAAAGACGCAGCGGGGTGTGTGTGTGTGTGTGTGTGCAGTGGGTCCAGGAGCTTGAAAGGGGAATGAGAGTTGGGGCCCTGCAAAATGAGAACGGGTCTTAAACTAAGTCAGGATTCAGGGTTTATTTCCAGACTTGGCCTCCAGTCAGGAAGCCCAACTCTGTTCTTCTGCTCTGTCCCCACTCGCTTGTGGTCTGCCTGGATGCTAAACCGGAATGGGCAGCGGGTTAGGAGGGTCCAGCGATATTCCAGGGGAGATTCAGCAAAGTGACAGAGGGGGAGGGGAAGCAGGAATCTCTTTCCAGAAAGGGGGGAGAGAGAAATAGAAGGGGAGGGAGAAAGGATGGAAGAAACGGAGAGGCTGGACACTGCAGCAGACCCACTAATTCACCCCATTAATCGGAAAGGAGACCGCTGGGTTCTGTGGGCCGCAGGCTCGGTCAAGGACTCTGCCAGACCTCTGGGGAGGGTCCTCCTCGCTCCCACAGCAGATGGGCAGCCCCAGGTCTCTGGGGTCACCTGGGGTGGAGGTAGGAGGGAGGGCATCCCATCTGCTTGGCCCAGAGGCTTTGATGGAAGGGTGGAGGGAAGGAAGGAAGGAAGGAAGGAAGGGAGGGAGAGAGGAAGGAAGGAAGAAGGGTAGGAGAGAGGGAAGAAAGGAAGGGAGGAAGGAAGGAAGGAAGGGTAGGAGAGAGTGAGGAGGGAAGAAAGGAAGGCAGGAAGGGAGGGAGGGAGGAAGGAAGGAAGGAGAGGAAGGGTAGGAGAAGAGTGAGGAGGGATGGCAGGAAGGAAGGAAGGAAGGAAGGAAGGAAGGAAGGAGAAGGGTAGGAGAGAGTGAGGAGGGAAGAAAGGAAGGCAGGAAGGGAGGGAGGGAGGAAGGAAGGAAGGAAGAAGGGTAGGAGAGAGGAGGGAAGAAAGGAAGGGAGGGAGGGAGGAATGAAGGAAGGAGAGGAAGGGTAGGAGAAGAGTGAGGAGGGATGGCAGGAAGGAAGGAAGGAAGGAAGGAAGGAAGGAAGGAAGGAAGGCCATTAAGGAGATGAATAAGGACACTGGAGATGCAAATGCTCCCTGGAGTTAGTAGCACATGGCAGAAAGGAAGAGTAGGTGGAGTTGGTGGCTGGATTCCCACCCGGTCCCCATCGAAGGGTTCTGCTAGCTGCATTGGAACGACATGCTAAGCCTGGTTAGCGGGACCCTGGCCGGGGCGCTGGGGGCACAGCGTAAATGCTCAGCGTAGGGTTCAGGCTGTCGTATGTACTCGGGGAGTGCTCAGGGGAGGGCCCGGGGCCAGGTGTGGAGCAAGGTCAGAAGGTCAAGGTGTGAGGAAGCCCCGCGCAGATGGGGAGAGCGCTGGGGGGGCCGCCTAGCCAGCTCTCGCGTTGGGATGCTGCGTCTGAGCACCCTTTTCACCTCCTCTCCCCTTCTCTCTCTGCTTCTCTCTGGCTCCTCCCGGCAGGTCGCCAGCTGACCATCTTCAACAGCCAGGCCGCCATCAAGATCGGGGGCCGCGACCAGGGCCGCCCCTTCCAGGGCCAGGTCTCGGGGCTGTACTACAACGGGCTCAAGGTCCTCTCCTTGGCCGCCGAGAGCGACCCCAACGTGAAGGTGGAGGGCAACCTGCGGCTGGTGGGCGAGGTGCCGTCCGTCATGACCACCGAGACCACGGCCACCACCTTGCTGGCGGACATGTCCACCACCATCATGGAGACCACCACCACCATGGCCACCACCACCACGCGGCGTGGCCGTTCTCCCACCATGCGGGACAGCATCACTCAGGTTAGTGGGACAAGGGGGGGCCGGCAGGGGAGGGAGGGAGGAGAGAAAGGGAAAGGAAGGAGGAAGGAAGGAAGGAAATAGAAAGGAAAGAAGGAAGGATACAGGAGGGAGGGAGGGAGGAGAGAAAGGGAAAGGAAGGAAGGAAGGAAATAGAAAGGAAAGAAGGATATAGGAGGGAGGGAGGGAGGAGAGAAAGGGAAAAGAAGGAAGGAAATAGGAAAGAAGGAACGAAGGAGAGAAAGAAGGAAGGAAAGAAAAGATATAGGAAGGAAGGAGAGAAAGGAAGGAAGGAAAGAAAGGGATATAGGAAGGAGGGAAGGAAATAGGAAGGAAGGAAGGAAAAGGAAGGAGAGAAAGGAAGGAAGGATATAGGAAGGAAGGAGAGAAAGGGAAAGGAAGGATATAGGAAGGAAGGAAGGAAATAGGAAGACAAGAAGGAAAGATATAGGAAGGAAGGAAATAGGAAGGAAAGAAGGAGGGATATAGGAGAGAAAGGAAGGAAGGAAGGATATAGGAAGGAAGGAAGGAAGGAAGGAAGGAAGGAAGGAAGGAAGGAAGGAAGGGGTCCAGGGAAAATCCCAAGGAGGCCTTGGGCGAGGAAGGAGGACAGGAGGGGTCAGGAGCCAAATTCCACCCCCTGCAAATGTTCCCGTAGAGAATTTGGCAGCCAGATCTCCGGGAAGGAAGCAGAGGCCCCACAGGAGACACCGGAGGGGGAAAACCAGAAAGCCGCAGCAGGAACTTCAACGCTGCTGCCCGTGGGGGACCCATCTCAGCCAGCGCTTTCCCCACTTGGCCTCCCCCGGTGCCAACAGGGGCCGGGCAGGACGGGGTGGGGGGGGAGAAGAAAGGCAGCACTGCCAACGACCTTTGCAGTTCAGCCCAGGAAATGGTCATCTGAGAGTCAGCTGGGCTTGCCAGCCCCACTGGACCCCAAACACCAGTGAACCCCAAGTTACCACTAACCGAGCTCGGTCACTTAGGACAACGCAGAGATTTGCCCCCAGCCTCATTTGGCATCTCTGGCGCCCCCCAGTCTCCAACCAACCATTTGCAACTATTTCAAAATCAATGCACGCCCGGCTTTTGAGTGCAAAATTTGCATTTCGAGTATCATCTGAGCCGTTTCAGTCAATGTGGAAGCATCTGCTGGGTGGAGCTGAAGGTGCTTTTAAGGAAGAAGTGTGTCCCTTTCACACTCAGTCCAAACTTGGGCTGGTTCCAATTCAAGGAGTTTTGCACGCTTCTCTTGGGTGGATTTGGAGAGAAGAAGGAAGCCAAGAGGACCATAGTATTCAGTCTTGAGAACAATGAGTTCTGCACATCCCTGATTAGAAACTTGGAAATGCATGCTAAGACCATCCAAGGCCTGGAGACTCAAACATAGGAAGAACGGCTGCAGGACTTGGGAACGGCCAGTCTAGAGAAAAGAAGGACTAGGGGGGACATGGTGGCAGACTTCCAGTATTTGAGGGGCTGCCACAAAGAAGAGTCAACTTATTTTCCAGAGCACCCGAAGGCAAGAGAAGAAGCAACAGATGGAAACTAATCAAAGAGAGGAGCCACCTGGAATTAAAGAGAAACTTCCTAACAGTGAGGACAATTAACTAGTGGAACAGCTTGCCACCAGAAATCTTGGGTGCTCCATTTCTGGAGGTTTTTAAGAAGGGACAAGATAGTCACTTGTCTGAAATGGGATAGGTTCTCCTGCTTGAGCAAGGGGCTGGACTAGAAGACCTCCAAGGTCCTTTCCAGCTTCTATTCTATTCTATTCTATTCTATTCTATTCTGTTTATTCATGTTTATTAGATCCGTGTCCCTCCTGGCTGGTACTGGCAGCTCGGGAGGGGACACGAGCCTGGTTCCAGGGAATTGTCAACGCTTCTTTGCAGGAGGGTGTCTTCCCGGCGGCCTTAAAGGAGGCCGTGGTGAGGCCCCTCCTCAAGAAGCCTTCCCTGGACCCAGATGAGTTGGCTAACTACCGCCCGGTCTCCAA